GTGGTGTGTTTGGGTCAGTATTTGTGGCTAGCCAAGTTCAATATAAGACAGATTGAAGACCAGTTTTTCCCACCATCTCCCCTCTTGACCTTATGCCACATTTTTTGTATTTAAAAAATAAATATTACTCTCTTCTATGATACCTTATGAGTTTAAGCACTGTACTATATTGGCAGTAAAATCACATCATTTTACAGTTGAAATGGCGAAATGTAAAACCGTAAGTTCTATGCTAACAGTTTCTTCTCTCGTAGTTCTTACTTCCGGCTTCTTTCTTTTCGGTCAAGTTTGATTTTCAAATATTTAAATGAAATGCCAATCGTTATCTCCTGTCTATTTAAATTCTGTTCTCTTATTGTTCTCTTTTCTTAATAACGTTTTTTTATATCTATATATCTTCTTTCACACTCATTAACCCCACTCCTGGGAATTAGTGGCTTTCTTCCCTTGCTTTGGTTGAAATGATAAAATAAAGAAATTAAAGCATTTGACGATGATCGGCTAAAATCTGAATCATTAATTGAAATACCGTGAATCTTTGATTCTGGAACAGTTTGTGCCGCAAGAGACCTCTGACTGTATGAAAAAATAATATATCTCCCGTTAGGACTTCTTTTCGTATGCAGCAGTCAAACGTTGGACTGCTGAGTTTTGCCAGGAGTGGTGATCTCTTGAAGACGAAGAGCTGTCAAGACTGCATTTTTGATGAAGAAAAATAAGATAAAAGTATTTAACAAAAAAATAAAATAAAATTATTTTTTGTTTGGTGTAAAACGATTGGAACACTTCTCACGCCCTGACGATGTCGCCGAAACTTTTCAGCAAGATGCCAAATAATTACCCGCAGTTTTCAGGTTTCCAAAATTTCTACGTTTAGAAACGCTAAAATGAAGATTTCGAATTGGAGACGACATTGGTTTAATCAATAGCGGATCTACTATGAAGTGAATAAAGTTTAAACATCGAGGGATATCCGTGAAGCAGCTTATTTTAAACGAAAATCTTTGAGGCAGAAAATTTAATCAGTGCTATAAAACATATATTTCAATAGTTTTTTTTTTCCCCGCACTTGTCGCCTGTGGAATTCCCTTCCGTTTAATTGCTTCCCTGATAACCACAATCTTCAAAAAATTTAATGCAACGCCAATCGCCATCTTCTGCCTTCTTGAATCTCATTCATCTTCTGTTCTTTCCGAAACCTACCCAATACTTAGTCTTTTCTCTCACTTTCACACCCTGTAACCCAATGTGTACTAGTGGCATTTTTGCCTTGCTTTTGGGGTGGTGAAATGATTAAAAAATTTTTTTTTAAATTTGCATTTGCCCTATGAACTAAATATATTCTGGTTAAAATCCCTCTATGTTACTTTAACTTCTTAATATCTGGGGAACCTTTGCCATTTTAACTGTCTAAGGAGTCTATCCCACTTGAACGTTTGCGAACAGGAATTAATTTCCACTGAACTTTTCGTTTGTTTGTTTGTTTGTTTTGTTTATTTCGCTCACTGAGGTAGACTGTTCTAGTTCCACATACCATGCCTAATGGATGTCGGTTATCAGTTATCTCCTGTTAATTTCCCTCTGAAAGTTCTCCACTGCCTTATCCGGGCATATCAACACCTCAATGGGTTATTTAATGCCGACATGATTTTTAATGCTAGTAATATTTTTTTTTCAAAAATGTATTGTTGTTAATATTTTTTTCTCAGAAATGTATTACTGGTAATAATGTATTGCAGGTAATAACTTTTTTCTTCATAACTTTATTGAAGGCAATTATTTTACAAAAGCGTATTGCTGGTATTAAAGCCTATTTTTACACTTTTATAGTATTTTGACCCCAGTTTGGGAGTTAACTATTTGCCCATAGCTGGGATCCTAACAGAAGCTACCACCCAGGATCAGGGTGGACCTGGGATCATCAGCAATTAAGAGGTTGTTCCACACTCCTCAAAACCTCCTGATCAGAGACCTTCCTGTTGGAAGTAGTTTATCGTCTTACCCAGAACGCAGATGTAGTTTATCGTCATACCCAGAACGGGGACTTTTCGTTTTATCACTACTAATACTAGAATATCATCCTCATCTTTATCGCCATATTTATCGCAACGTTTATATAATAGAAGGCTCAGTATAAAGCGAGAGTGATACTTATTATTAGAATAGAAGTAAAAACCTTCTCAGTAAGAGCACTCCATGCTATTACATAGTGGCAATCCGCTCCAATTTCCTCTGTATTCAACTGGTGAGGTGTATATTCCACGCGAGCCTACTTTTCCCGCGAACGACTGCCGTGTGGAACCGACTCCCAACTGGACATTTCCCAGATCACTACAATCTTAACCTGTTCAAGGTTAGGGTTAATCGTTATCTTCCACTCGTATACGCACAAACGTAACCTTCTACCACGAGTGATCCCCGGGTCTTGTAAATGGTGACCCTCGCCGAAAAAAAAATGTTGGTTTGTCTGTTAAGAATACTGCTCAAATCTCAGGAGACATCCCCACCAGACCTACGTCTCCTTTCGGGAGGGAGTCGGTTTATTGATCGCCGCAAGTGGTCCCTAATATGGGGATGGGCAAATTGTGAATATAGATAAACCTACATTCTACTCGAACTTGTGTCACATTTCGTTGCAGCCTGGGTGTTCAATTAAGTACCACGGTACTTGAGTTCATGGTACTTGAACTGTTAACGCTGGTAACGTATTGGGAACCCAGTGAGGATTGAACTCTTTATTCTGTCGTAAATGTGCGTGTGCGTGCGGCTAAGTACCATGTAACTTGAACTGTTGCCAGTAGTGCGAGCAATGTCTTTTGTCAGCGGCTGGCAGAGAACTTACCTCCTCTGCCGATAATATTGCTCAAGCGTCGGGAGCCATGCCCGCCAGGCAAGAAGGGCATGGATTTATTGCACACCTACTCTCTATATTTCCTCAAGAAAACATGGCACAGTGGATAAAGGCGTTAGTTAGTTCCAGTGACAGGACCCAAAAAGAGTGAGTTCAATGCCCGGCTAAGGCAGTGGAGAACTTTCAGAGGGAAATTAACAGGAGATAACTGATAACCGACATCCATTAGGCATGGTATGTGGAACTAGAACAGTCTACCTCAGTGAGCGAAATAAAGGGTTCAGTTTGACATTCCAACCACCTGAAGAAGGCCGGAGCGTACAACGGCCGAAACGTGATAAATATGGCGACAAAGATGAAGATGATAGTCTGAGAAATGTAAATAGTGTACCTCCTGAGTCCTCAAAATAGGGATGTGCCGATGCAGCTTGTGTATTTTTCTACGATACTGCCGATAAACATAATTTAAACTCCACCTTGCGTGCGGCAAATTACCTTGAAATATTGTCAGTATTTTCTAAGAGTAGCTTAGATGTGGCACAAGGACGAAAGTACGGGGCATACATTGAGGATCGAGCTCAATATTCAGTCGTAATTGATCTAGCGAGACAATCTTGACAACCATTACACCACGTCGTACCGCTGGATCCAATGGTATCAGGGATGTCTTGTATGAATGACCGGCACAATCGGGGAAGAACCAAAGGCTTCAGAATTTTTTCATGGTATTGCCTGGCGATAAACTAATATTAAACTAAACCTTGCACCACATTTCATTGTGTTGTGGGCTCACGTCCAAATATAATGGTACTTGGACTGTAGAATCAAAACTGACTAAATAAAACCGCAACGGAGTATCTCTATCTACAAAAGGCAAGATGTGTGTGTGTGTGTGTGTGTGTGTGTGTGTGTGTGTGTGTGTGTGTGTGTGTGACGAATGCACGGCCGCAATTTTCGACGGATTTGCACCAAAATTTACATGCACATGCTCCAAGTTAGCGGAAAGGCCAAGACCGACTTTGCATTTCACAACTCCCATCGATAGTGGAAATAATCGATTTTATTCATGCTTCTACGGCACTTTCCATATAGTTTGCGGCCATTTTGTACTGGTCAGAGTGAGAGCCAATAGCTGGCTGCCACGAATAGGCAGGAAGATTTTATTGGCCAGCGTGAGAGCCAACAGCTGACTGACACGAATGTTAACTAGCATGCTAGCATGCAAAAAAAATCGATAGCTGCATTCGTCACAAGTGGAAAAAATTTAAATCTGCATGGCACTTTACTCCAATTCGCTTGCTTAAACTCAACGTTGATTCTGATTCCGCAGAACTGGGTTGGATGTGAAAAAGTATTTGTTGTTAACATTCTTTTTCATTCGGTTTTCAGTTACGAGTCCTTTTTTAAAGCTGATCGTTTTGTGTTCATTTTGTTTAGTTCTTTTTTCGTAACAGATTTAATGTTTAGTATAGAGCTTAGAAAAATTCGCAGTGTGAGATAGGCAAGCAGTAAGGCATGTAGCAACATCAGCACGGCAAAGGGCACTCGTTTAAAGGCAAGGAAGGGCAAAAATATTTTAAGTCAAGTGATAGCGATTGCTGTATGAGTCGTACGATTTTTGAATCAAGCACGGGCAACGCCGAGCCATGCTGCTAGTCATAAGAATTTAAAAACTATAGTATTATTTCTGGTCGTAGAGCGTACTGTACACATTTTCCTTATAAGTACGAATCGACCATTTCAGATTTCAGAAATTGAATGCTGGAATTCATAAATATTTCGTTTCTCTCTAATCAGTAACAAGAGAAATTTTCATTAATTACTGAAAGATAGAAGACATTTCGCAATTTCAAGAGTCATGTTTCATTGTAATTACGATCGTCTTAAAGATTTTGAATGGGACGAAATTGAGCTGTTGTTATTGAATGGAGATAATTAATTCGATGTGGTACGTCTATGCTCTCTTTACCCGTGTTATTTCCCGTTCTCTTACTTTTTCTCTTCATCTATCTCTCTTTTTATCACTCTCTATCTATATCTCTCTATCTCTCTCACACACACACATACACACACACAAACTCACACACACACACGCACACACGATTGTTTTCGTTCTTCTACTCACTCTCACGCTCTCCTACACACACGTATGTGTCTCGTTCTCTCTCTCTCTCTCTCTCTCTCTCTCTCTCTCTTGCGCACCGACAACTCTTTCTCCCGTTATCTCTCTCACATGCACATGAACACCCACGCCTCATTCTCTTTCTCTCTCTCTCTTGCATACACTACCGTGTGCCATAGTTACCATACACATACACACGCATACACACAGAGACTCTCACGCGCGCGCGCACACACACAAACACATTCGCTTTTTCCTTATCTCTTTCTCTCTCACATATATATCTACGTGCCGCTTCATTTCACTCTATCTTTCGTGTGTGCGCACACGCACACGCTTCTTCCTCCTCCTCCTCCCCTCCCTCTCTCTCTTTCTATGCCTCCCCTCTCTCCCCTTCTATCTGTATCTCTTTCTTTCAACCCCTCCATCTTTCTCCTATTCTCTCTCCCTCCCTCTCTCTTTCTATCCCTGCTTTTCCCTCTCTCTCTCCCTCACACATTCTATCCCTCTCTCTCACCCCTTCTATCTCTATCTCTCTCTTTCAGCCCCTCCATCTTTCTCCCATTCTCTCTGCCTCCCTCTCTCTCTTTCTATCCCTCCTTTTCCCTCCCTCTCTCCCTCACACATTCTATCCCTCTCTCTCTTCCCCTTCTCTCTCTCTCTCTCTCTCTCTCATTCATTCACTCTTCTTCTATGTGTCATGAATCTTCAGGATGTTTGAGATCATGGCATTCCACAATTTTCTATTCTTTGTAGCTCTTAATAAGTTTTGTCTTAGTGTGATCTCTCCTAATCCCTGTTCCGTCATCCATTTACACAAGCTCGTTAGGTAGATTATACATTGTTTTCCTCTTTGCCTTCAATCTTTCCTGTAAGTATCAAATTTTCCAAGCCCTCTTTCCTCATTATGTGACCTAGAAATTTCATCTGTCTTTTCCTGATGTTAAGTATAAGTGTCTTTATTGTTTCCATTTTTTCTAAAACTTCGTCGTTGTTCATATGTTCAATCCATGGTATTCTCAACATCCTTCTGTAGAATCACATTTCTGTTGCCTCAAGTATTTTCTTCATCTGAGGAGATTTTCCAGCATTCAATGTCAGATAGGAGGACTGTACAAGATAACAGTACAGTGCTCTTTTCTTTGTTTTTTAACGAAATTTTCCTGTTTCTTAATACTTTGCTTAGCTTTAGAAGACCTCTTTCACTATCCCAATACGTCTTCGTATCACATAACAGAAACTGCCTCATTTGAAGAGTTGCAACAGTAGCAACAACTAAATTGTATAGCTCATGTAACTGGAAGAAAAAATAAGGAGATAATCTCAACATTACACATTACTTATTGTAATTGCTTATTACAATTATTGTACTTGTTTGATTTTGCTATCTCCAATTTGTAATTTGTACTTTGAGCAGTCCATTTTGCTGGCAACCATTCACCCTATCTTCTTACACTTGATTTTCTCGCTTTCATTCATTACATTCTGTATGCGTTCTTCTCTGTCGCGCATGCACGATAAGCTATAACGTTCTCCCCCACTTTTGTTGTTTATAGCAGTACTTGGAAGGAAAGTGTGCAGAGTGTGATTGTCTCACCACACCACAGAGGTTCCATCAGTGACCATGACATGGCTCAGCAGTGTTTGGCAAAGCAGAACATTTCTCAGGTCCGACAACCATTATATACCCGAGATCTCTCCCCTTGCAACATTTTTCTCTTCTAAAACAAAGTCCCGCTTGAAAGGAACAAGATTTCAAGACGCCAAAGAAAGCTGAGAGAATGCGACGAAGAATCGGCTCGCTATCCCCAAAATTCGAAGAATGCTTACATTAATGTAAACAACGCTGGATAAAGTTTATAGTTCTGGAAGGAGGCTACTTTGAAGGCAATTAAGTGCCGAGTTGATATGTCTTGTAGTTTTCTTTTTATAGCACCTACCCCGATACTTCTTTATTCGACCTCGTATGAGCCGGGTTTCGATCCTAGCTAGAAGCAACCGGACATCTAGCTACACTGATGAGCTGCGATACAGCAAAACAGTCTGTCTGTGAATGACAATATATAAGCTCCTGAAAAATTATTTCGGTTGAGCTCTCTGGGGAAGAAGTGTGAGTTTGTAAACAGTGACTATTACTGCTACTGCTGCAATACTCTTCAATAAAACGAATTTAGTTCTCTCAGTCACTGGCGTGTCTATCTAAAAATAAATACGTTTGAATTCACCTTCATCCCTGCCGTGCGTCAACGGCTTAGGAGTAGATTCTCCGACTGAGGCCAATTCTGCTTTCGATCCTAGCTAGAAGCAACAGAACGTCTAGCCACACTGATAAGCTGCGATACAGTGAAACAGTCTGTCTGTGGATGACAATATAAACATATATATATATATATATATATATCATGTAACAGCAAAAATGTCCAAATCGTGTAACAGCAAGATTGTTAAAATGTTAGATTAAGCTTTGAACTGCAATATCTTAGAAGTACTTAAAGATATTAGAATTCTTCGAGATTTTTATAACCCTATGGAATTCTACTTTGCGCAATACCAATGTGTAATTCCACACCAAGCTTAACAGAAGAATCGTGATGAAATCGATCATAAACGAAAATGACATGTTCATCATTAATTAATCATAGCTAAGGATTGGGGGCTCATGAAGGATTGAAATAAAGTTCAAGTCTATATATATATATATATATATATATATATATATATATTGCAGGATCATGTTCCAACTTATTCGAGATAATCTTCGCTCTCTGTAACCTTCTTTCTGTTCTGGAATAACAAGGTCCCTTTCGTGTTCTCATTTTTTTTTTCACTGCTCTTTGGACTGTCATAGCCGAAACTCCTCTCTCACGTGCCAAACGTCTTACGAATCGAGCTGGATCTTTTCGAATTGATCTCTTTAGTTCTAAGTGCAAGTAGGGATTACGTAATTAAATTTTGAAATTGAATGTAGTTTATTTTTCCTGGCTAAAAACTTTTCTTAGGCCACTGTAGATTGGCAATTAGGTTTCACCGTTTTACTGTTGAAATGTAACCATAAGTTCTATAGAATTTTCCCTCGCACTTCTTGCTTGTGGAACTCTCTTCCGCTTTTTTTGCTTTCCTGCCACCTCTGATCTTCAAACATTTAAATGCAATGTTAATTGCCATCTGTCATCCTGAATCCTGTTCTTTCAATGCCCTTTCTCCCCACAAAGGTCTTCTCGTTCGCTTTCACTCTCTGTAAACTTTTTAAAGAAAGAATGCACCTTCGACTGGATTCGAACCTGCGTCCGTCTTAGCAGGAGAAAATGACGTGCTTTACACCGACTCGGCCACAAAGGATCTCGGCGACCAAGCAAAGCCAAATAGTGTTTTATAAGGGCAACTTTCTTAAGTAATTCCGGAAACATTCGTATCTGCTCAGTTTCGTATCCTATTCTTCGCTCGATTGATAAATACAAAGAAGAATCTGCAATGTTATTGGTCTTGACATGGCATCTCGGCCTCAGTCACTTTCCCACCACCGCTTCTATGTGCTTTTTTTATCATTTTACCCCAAGCAAGGCAATAAAGACACTAGGACGTAAGAGGCCACTGAGTGTTATAGAATATGAGAAAAATACTAAGGAGAACAGACAACAAAAGAATAAGAATTAAGAAGTCAAAAGATAAAGACTGACATTACATTTAAATTTCTACTAATATTTTCATGGTAATTTGGTATCTAGACTTTATGAATTTAAGTGCATTTTTCTAAAAAGGTAATTTATCTTCTTCCCTTGGCTTTCCCTCAGTCTGAACCTCTTGCTCTGTACTTTGAAGTTGACTTCACTTACCAATAACCATCGGTCGAAATAAATGCTCTGTATCCATTTTTGCGACAAGTCCTGCTGTTTTCAATTTAACAAGACCTCAGCTGAAAAATATTGCAACATTTAGTATTGTTTATCTTTTTGTCTGTTAGACTTAAACCTTTGAGCTCAGACCACCGCTTTACCGGTGGTAGAGAAAAACGACGTAATGCCCAGCCACCAGTTGAACTGTGGTAGGGAAAAATGATTCAATGCCCAGTCACCGGTTGAACGGTGGGTAAACACTTGTAACTATTTTTATATCTACCGTGAAACATTACATATCAATTATTTGCGAATTTTGACTCAGGAGCTCCGGCAGAAGGGTTCAAATTGTTCAGGAACGCAAGGCTTCAAAGGGTTAACGGTTTTTCATTGGTTTTGTATATGAACCTGAGCTCAAAGTATTGTTGTAAAAGTTTAAATGATCAATCTTCTGGGGTTTTCCCTTGGGAAAATAGTTTCGGTTTAGGAACGGCTTCAGGAACAAATTAAATTCATTAACCGAGGTTCCATCGTAATTCTTTGAGCGATACCTTGATTTTGATTATGAAAGCCAAAACCGATAGAACCTACTCGGTTATTTAAATTTTGATATTTGTTTCTTCTTTGATGTGCCGTGTCCTTTCAGGACGTTGGTGATTATGGCTCTTCCCAAATTCCTGTCCTCTTAGTATATTCTGTTTTTTTTTGTTTGTTTTTTTTTTGGGGGGGGGGTAGGGTTTTTTTTATTTCTCCTAAACACTGTTCTTCCATACATTTACACAAGCTCGTTAGGTAGGTTAAGCGCTGTTTTTCTCTCTCTCGCGTGCCTTTCGTATATCCTGTGAATATCAAATTTCCCAAGCTGTTTTTCCTCATTACGTCACCTTAAAATTTCAACTGCCTCTTTCCGATATCAAGTATAAGTTTCCTTTATTGTGTTCATTTTATAAAAAAAAACTTCGCCGTTGCTCACATGTTGAGTCCATGGTATTCTCAACATCCTTCTGTAGAATAACATTTCAGCTTCTTTCAGACACTTCTTCATCTGTGAAAAGATTGCCCAGAATTCACTGCCATATAAGACGACTGATATTACATAACAGTTCAGTCCTCTTTTCTCTGTTTCTAATGAAATTTTCCTAATACTTAATACTTTACTTAACTTTTGGAAGGCACTTTTGATATCGACTAAACTGAGTGCTCAAAATGTCTGACCTTGAGCCACACGTGTTTTAACTTCGCGAAAATCAATATTAATTATTGCTCTTACCAGTATTCCTCGGCACTTCACTTTACTCATCTTTACCGCTATTATAATTTTCATCAGCATCATCATCATTGTCGTCATTATCAACATCATCATCATCGCTGTCATCAACATCATCATCATTGTCGTCGTTGTAATCTTTATCATCCGCATCATCATCATCTTCGTCTTCATCGTCACCGTCATCATCGTCATTATCATCGCCATCATGAATATCATTATCATCGCCATCATCACCATTGTCGTCATCAACGTCATTATCATTATCGTCCCCATCATCGTCATCATCATCGTCGTCGTCATCGTCATCATCGTCATCATCGTCGTCGTCGTCATTATCATCATCATCACCATCATCGTCGTCGTCGTCATTATCACCATCATCATCATCATCATCGTCGTCGTCATCACTGTCAGCATTATCACTGTCGTCGTCGGCATTATCACCATCATCATCATCATCATCGTCGTCGTCGTCGTCGTCATCACTGTCAGCATCATCATCATCGTCATTATCATCATCGTCATCATCATCATCGTCGTCGTCGTCGTCATCATCATCATCATCATCGTCGTCGTCGTCATCATCGTCATTCATCATCATCGTCATTATCATCATCGTCTTCGTCATCATCATCAGCATCATCATCGTCGTCGTTGTCATTATCACCATCATCATCATCATCATCATGACCGCCGCCGCCGTCATTATCACCATCATCAACATCATCATCGCCGTCGTCATCATCATCATCATCATCGTCACCAACATCATTATCATCGTCGGCGTCATCGTCATTATCATCGTCGTCGTTGTCGCGATTATCACCATCATCATCATCAGCATCATCGCATCATCACCGTCATCGTCATCGTCGTCATCGTCATTATCGTTAATCATCGCTTCGTCGTCAACATCATTATTAATATCTCTTACCTCCCTTTTCCTTAAATTTCTTCTGATCGATTTTGCCAACAAAATCCATTTGAGAAATTCTTATTTTCTTACGTCACAACTTTTTGCAGTAAAGACGACATGGAGTCGGCCTCTGAAGAGATTGATGAAGGATAAACTTCACCATTCGAATTAAATACTTTGGTAGAATTCTTTTGGGGAAAGAATAGGGACCTTTGACACGTGAGAAGTATTTTCCGGTTGACCTTTGGCAAGGCCAGACAGTGGTTATCAAAAGGAATTTTTATCGCCCAAATGAGGGTCACTTGAAAGCGTCTTGAAGTCGGCCGCTTGATTTTTACTTATTCAGTTGGATTCATTCGTTACGAAGTTTATGGGCGATAACATTATTCCTCTCCTTCAATCTTGAAAATTTTCACACTCTAGCTCTCTCTCTCTCTCTCTCTCTCTCTCTCTCTCTCTCTCTCTATCTATCTATCTATCTATCTTATCTATCTATCTCTATCTCTCTATCGCTTTCTATCTCACCCTCTCTCTCATTCACTCATTCACTCAGTTTCTACCTCGATTCTTCTCTCATTTGCATGTATCTCTCTCACTCTCTCTCTCTTTCTGTATCTCCCTCTCTCTCTCTCTCTTTCTTTCTCTCTCTCTCAGATACACAGAGGTATCTACCTATCTCAAGATAGAGATAGGTAGATACCTCTGTGTATCTGTTTCTCATGTACGTCAGTGTTTTTCTGTCTATCTTTCTATGCCTGTCCGTTTATCTTTCTGCTGCAAGGAAAGTTGACTCACTGTGCCGTGCCAGAAGGTTTTTCTTGTCAGAGTCCATCTTACATATCTACAAATCTACCATCCATCCGTGCATTGAGTACTGCTGCTATATCTGGTCTGGTGTCCCAGCTGTTCATCTCGAGGTTCTTGACAAAACCCAAAGAACGATCTGCAATGTAATTGATCCTGAATTAACATCTCGACTTTCTCATTGACGTGATGCGGCTTCCCTCTGTCTTTTCTACAAATATTTTCATGGCAACTGTTCCGTCGAGCTTTTTTCCCCCCTGGTGCCCCGACTACATAAATTTAAGCGTACTACTAGACTAGCATCTAGGCCCCACCCTTTTACCGTTGAAATAGTTAAATTTAACCGTCACTTCTACTCCAACAGCTTCTTTTCTCGCACTTGACGCCTGTGGAACTCCCTTCCTGTTTACTTGCTTCCCTGATAAGTACAATCTTCAAAAATGTAAATGCAACGTCAATCGACATCTTCTGATCCAGCAAACCCCGTTTATCTTTTATCCTTTCCTCATTCCCCCATTTTTTCTCTCACCTTCACTCTATGTAACCCTATGCGAGCTAGCGGTATTCCCAACTTGCTAGGGGTGAAATGCTCTAAAAAAAATAACGATTGAAAAATCATTTTTTTTTTCTTTTGCTTTTTCGTAGAGAAAATTTTGCAGCATGCTGACTCACGTTAAAATCCTCACAGTATTTAGTATTGTTAAAATTATCGCTAACATCTTATGTTGAGATTTACAAACTCTACGTTTCGTTCAATTTCGCATACCAATCGATGAAATTTGAATAAGCTGATTTGTTGGGGAAAATACTTTAACAAAAGCCCCACTTCATGTTTTAATATTTTTTTTAATTCAATTTAATTTTATAGGATTTCATGGTAAACAATATTCTTTAAGAAAATTTTATTTTTTTCACTTTTTCTTTTTAACGGCGCATTCTTAGGATTCTTACTCTTGAGCATGCAACATACAACTGGCCATAAATATTTATTTCTGGTGTGAAATTCCAACTTTTTGAAGCGTTTGTGATTTGTTTATAGTTCTTGCAGACACAGGTCAAACTGGAAACTGGATTCCTGTATATATGAAAACTTAAAGAAAAAATATGCAAAAAGAAAAAAAAACAATATTGCATTTTTATTAAATAAGTATTTGCTATTTTAATTATTAAATTGTTTTTAAAATAGTGGGAGTATTTTGTATGTTAAATGTAACCACCATTTCTACATTAACAGGTTCCTTTTTTCACATTCCCTTCCGTTTATTTGCTTCCCTGATAACAACATTCTTCAAAAATTTAAATTGCAACGCCAATCTTCTGATCTCATGAACCCCGTTCATCTTTTATCATTTCCTCATTTTTTTTTAAATTAAGGAAAACTTATTGTACTAAGCTACGAACTCGAGTAAAACCATTTGTATTTTGTAACCCCTTACTTGTTTGCACTTCTCCCAAAAATTTTGTTTCAATCGGTCAATATACGACTAGTTTAGAGGCTGTGACGTACGGACTAACGGAAGTCATAAAATTTTATATATAGAAGATAACCTTGGTCATTGTGTGTGTGTGTGTGTGTGTGTGTGTGTGTGTGTGTGTGTGTGTGTGTAAAATGTTCATTACAAAGATTCCTTACTTTGAAGGTGGAATATAACATATGTATTTTATTCTCTAAAATATATTCACACTTGTTAATAAATTGTTTCAAATCGCGAACCTAGATTTAGGACTAAAGTGGAACCTCGGTTTACGAATTTCATTCGTTTCTGAAAGCCGTTCGTAACCTGAAATGTTCGTGAACTGAAATGATTTTTCCAACAGGAATCAATGTAGAGAAAAAAAATCACAGCACAATAAAATTGGAAAAGAAAAGCACGCCACAATACACGAATGTATACAACATGGCGGTTGACTCAGAAATGATTCCATTCGTGTTAACTCGGTTTGACTATGTTGTTCGAGAACGGAAATTTTGTTCGATAACCGAGGCATTTTCATCTCGAATTTTCTGTTCGAAAACCGATTTGTTCGACATGTGAGACGTTCGTCAACTGAGGTTCCTTTGTATATGCAAATCTGCTACAGGAACGTTCGTCTACACCACGCGCCATTTTGATTATTAACAACTAACATGTACTCAGATGATCTCAACCAAACAAAAAATGGATCCTTGGTTTACCTTCAAACTGTTAATACTTCTGAAATCCATTTATGTTTTTACATTTCTAGTCACACTTCCCACCGTTTCAACCAGCATCTGTTATCATATCTTTCAACAGCGAACCCCTTCAAGGGAAATAACTCATTACTAATTAGGTCCATTAAAAATATACTATATCAAAAATATTTTTTTCTATAAAAGAAACCGTGGGTGGCGTTCAGTTCCATGATACATTCTACCAGTTAATTAAACCATATTCACACACGCATATAAAGATGTGCGTGTATGTGTATATATATATGTGTGTGCCCATGCGTACTTTAATCGTATAATTAAATAGTATAAAATATACATATATTTTGTATCTGAATGTGCCAGTGTGGCATGTATACGTTTGTGTATATGTGTGTTTTGATACAATATAACATTAAATTATATTCACACACATGCAAGCACGCAAACGCACTCATGCACATACATATACATACACGGACGCGTATATACGGACGTGGATTATATGCTAACAATCTGATATGGAAATAGCTGAATAGTGATCTTAAATTTCTCCTGTATAATGCGCCATCGATATGATTAAATGCACAAAATCCATTGAAAAAAAATGAGGTTATGTTTAAAATAAATATTTCCTATATAAATTTTTTTTGCCAATCGGCTATGGACAATAAGATCCATTATTGCACGTATGTACATCAACAAGTATGTAGCCTGATGTAGCTATTAGCTAAATTCTGGTCTGAATTTTTTTACCGTAGCGTTTGACGTCTAATGGAAATATAATGGATTAAGACAACGGAATATATTTAATCTTATAGATCGGGTGTTCCCAACATTTCTGGCGTCATCGCCCACTTTCACACGGAAAAATTCAAAAGTATATCAAAATTATTTGGTAACAGTTTGTTACTGGTTCGTAAACTGTCTTTTCAATGTAGTAAAAACAATATCAAGGGGAGGTAACAAATAAAGTTGATTTATGCAGCAAAGTTGACTCTCGAATTTTATATATATATATATATATATATATATATATATTAAACAATAAAATTCCATATTACCTCATATGGAGAATAGCCTATTTCAGCAGATGAAGATATCGGTCATCTGTTTTATCAAATAGATAGATAGATAGATAGATAGATAGATAGATAGATAGATAGATAGTTTTATGGTTAGGGGTTATTTCAAGTCTTGACAAAAAATTAAACGATTTTGTTCATAATTATAAAATTAAAAAGAATATACACTGCAAGCAACTAATAAAAATTCATCGAATATATTTTGCTATTTGAATGTTAAGGACCCTTCTCACAGAAAATACCAAAATATTCTTTATTTGCGGGGATATTTATATCTTATCTAGAAATGTGATCCAGTTATTTCTCATGCTTTTCTTATGCAGGTTATTTGCATATCTCCTCTGAATATTTTTTTCGAGTAGAATATGTTGAAATAACTTTTTAATACTCAAAATCCTATATCTCCACTAAAATTTCCAGTCGACCACTATTTTCTATTCAGTTGCTAATTGCCCATCCAACAGTTGAAATCGTCCACCGGTGGTCGATATCACCCAGATTAGAAAAGTGTGAAAATTTCAGTTTAATATTCAACTATATATGTGTTCGATTGTGCATTTGTGTGTGTGTGTGTGTGTGTGCAATGGATTAAGACAAGAAAAGGGATTATATTCATAAAATAATATTTCCTGTATAAAATAAGGGCTTTTTTTTTCATCATTTAGCTACAGACTTATTGATATACTTACGTGCAAGTATGAAACAATTAGTTTGTAGCTTTACCCAATTATTAGCTGAAAGCTTGACCCAAACTTTTAACTGTCTAATGTTCGAGTTAAGTGGTTTAGGAAGAAATAATCGATTATGTGCATTGACACGGAAAAGAGATTATACCGAAAAATGAATGTTTGCTCTTTAAAATAAATGCTTTCTCCATCATTAGACAAATATGAGGCGTGGAACTGGAATAAAAATGACTTAACTCAGGTGTGAGATACGAGTTGTATATTTAGAAAGCAAATATACTCTTTATTTGAGCAAACAAAGAAGGTGTGACTGTATTAGGTAGTTTAATTTGTTTTTACGGTTTATCAACCCTTTATTGTTTATTTAAGGCCGAAATATTTTGGATTGTAAGAATATTTCTTGTTTTTATCGAGTCAATATTGCATTAACCTTTCTTTGAGAATAACAACGGTAAAAGATAAAAGACCTACTATTTAACCCATAGCTCGGGGTAAATAGGATTCATAGCATTTCCAAGGATATTTGAACGTAAGAGAATGTAACGAACCTGGCTGGAATTCGAACTTGACTTTCCGATTTCACATTCCGAGCCGCTATCCATTAAGGTATTGGGTCGAAAATTTCAACTGTCTTAAAACTTCCACGTTGCTCACATACTCTGTCCATGGTATTTGTCGGTTGAATTACATCCCTGTTGCTTCAAGACACTTCTCCATCTCTGAGGAAATTGTCCAGAATTCCCAGTTATATAGGAAATTAATTATTGCATAAGAGCTTATTATTCTTAGGTTTGGTTTGCTTTAGTTTATTATATTTTACGGCATATCAACAACTCAGTAGGTTATTTAATGGCGACAAGATTTTAGGGTAGGTTCGTATGAATAGAATATATATTCTTTGTAAGAAGTCTATAGATCAAGATTCATTAACGTATTTTTTT